ATAACGAAAAGCCCAGAATGGCACACATTGTGGATATTAATGTATTTTTAACAAAAAGACGAATATATCTCATGAATCTTATATAGTGTTGTTGTTGTCTGCTTTTCCCGGGGTTTTAAGTAGGTCAACAGTGACTATGCGATGTCAGAGAGAGCTCCGTCAGTTAAAATCTCTTAAGAGATTTTAACAAAAAACCGTACGTTTAGGAAAAAAACCCTGGATTAACTTTGAATGCAGGAATGGGGTCGCTGACCATTGGTAAGTACAGGAAAATTGCCGTTTACTCCAGGAAAATCCAATTTTTGGCCAAAATGAAGAGTTATTATGACTTTAAGCCTCACAAAAGCATAATTTAAAAAATTATTTTGCTCGTGAGCAACCAGAAAAGAAATTTAATCACTTGGTTGTCTCAGTTAGTGGGTCAAAGTTTAAACAGACAATATAGCCCCACACATTTTAATATTTAATTTTAAAAGAAAAGGCTAAAAACAAAAACAAGTTTTACACCAGTCTCTTGTGATAACACATGAATCTTCTAATGGGACAATCATAAAAGTTGTGGAAAAAATAATAAATAAATATTAATGCTTAATATCAGTGTTGCCTGATATAAAACTGACTTGACACCAGAAAACTTTGGAACTTGACATGCTACACTCTAATTATTTCTTTGATCCAAATTACTGCTGAGTTGTAAGTAACTTTCAGAATAAAAACATGTCTTAGTTCTACTGGTCAAGATTTGCATTAGATGAAGTGCACCAGATTTGTCCTTGCTGTCATGCTGATAGGAAGGTGGTTTCCTAGGTTTCTCTTCAGTTGATGAATCTGGAAAAATATCACAATATTTCTTTAGAAGATGTCCATCACTTTAATTCATCAAAATGTCTTTAAATAAATATATCTTTATACTGTAAAAGAATATACATGTATTAAATACCCAACTGCAGGAATCATTTCAATGAGCAAAATGGGACACTTTTTCATTTTGTCCACTATGCAGATAAGGCAACTGCTCCTGACATAAGTATTTGATTTAATTAATTAATTAATTAATTAATTAATTAAGAAACAATTTACCTTAGCTGTCAGCTGTGGTACATGTACCATATGGTCTGGAGTTCTTTTGTTACTCTGATCTCCATGACAACAAGTCCANTGGGTCAAAGTTTAAACAGACAATATAGGCCCACACATTTTAATATTTAATTTTAAAAGAAAAGGCTAAAAACAAAAACAAGTTTTACATCAGTCTCTTGTGATAACACACAAATCTTCTAATGGGACAATCATAAAAGTTGTGGAAAAAATAATAAATAAATATTAATGCTTAATATCAGTGTTGCCTGATATAAAACTGACTTGACACCAGAAAACTATGGAACTTGACATGCTACACTCTAATTATTTCTTTGATCCAAATTACTGCTGAGTTGTAAGTAACTTTCAGAATAAAAACATGTCTTAGTTCTACTGGTCAAGATTTGCATTAGATGAAATGCACCAGATTTGTCCTTGCTGTCATGCTGATAGGAAGGTGGTTTCCTAGGTTTCTCTTCTGTTGATGAATCTGGAAAAATATCACAATATTTCTTTAGAAGATGTCCATCACTTTAATTCATCAAAATGTCTTTAAATAAAGATATCTTTATACTGTAAAAGAATATACATGTATTAAATACCCAACTGCAGGAATCATTTCAATGAGCAAAATGGGACACTTTTTCATTTTGTCCACTATGCAGATAAGGCAACTGCTCCTGACATAAGTATTTGATTTAATTAATTAATTAATTAATTAAGAAACAATTTACCTTAGCTGTCAGCTGTGGTACATGTACCATACGGTCTGGAGTTTTTTTGTTACTCTGATCTCCATGACAACAAGTCCAGATGATCATCTGCAAACACATCAAAGATGGCATCCAGAGCCTCAGCAACCACCCACAATTTCTGGTCCTTTCTCATGACTTCCACAAGAAATGTGCCAAAATTCTGAAGGAAAAAACAACTCAACATCAAAACTGGCAAATATACAGACACTAAACAGCAACCAAAATTTCAACAACATTAGCAAAAGAGTTTTAAAAATTCTAAAAGCAACCAAAGTGTTCCATTTAACAATAGGTAAAAGAAGTAAATGTTTTTTCTCTTTACAAGCTCTGTTGGTTTTCTGATCATCAGTACACACTTTCATGTCAGAAAGCTTTCAATATCTTAAGTTGTTATCAATTAGACAAAACAGTTCATTTAACACTGGTACTATTGACTAAGAGTAAACCATGAACTTAACCATACATGACATACATGTACATATCTGGGGTACCTTGTAGGTGTGTTTTCATCTCTGTCTTAATGGTGTGGTGGCTCACTGATATTACAGCTATTTTCAACAAAAAGTGTTTCCCTGGCTCACTACGCTGAAAGACAAAAATTAACACGTGGGATAAATTATGCTTGAAACAGCAAAAATGCAGTCACAAAAAGTAAAAAAAAATTGCACATGCACTCATTAAAGGGATAATAACTCTTTGTATAAGATCTATATTTCACAATAAAAACATTGTGAACAACTTATAGAAATATAATATATTCTGTTTTACCACAAAATGGCAGTTATAGCTATTATTCCATACTATCTTATAATCTCTTAAGAGATTATAACAAAAAAACAAACTTTTTTAGAAAAAAAAAAAAAAAAAAAAAAAACAGGGATTCACTTTGAATGTAAAAATGGATTCATTAACCATTGGTATGAACTGACCAGATGGCCTTGTGGTTAGAGTGTCCGCCTCCAGAGCGGGAGGACATGGGTTTAAAACCCGTCCGGGGACATACCAGTCCTTTACAAACGGTACCTGCTGCCGCTTGGCACTCAGCATTAAGGGGTTGAAGCAGGGGCCTGGTCAGGCAATGCAGAAATGATAAATTAGCTCTGAGTTGTATCCTCCCCAGGGAGGTGAGACCGTATACAGAGTGCACCAGTGCAAAAATGACCCTTCACTTGAATATTCATTTTATTTAAATAAATAAATTACATAATTGTATAACTTCAACCTTCGGGTTGCGATTTTCCAATAAAGATTATTGGTAAGAATTTGAAAATTGTTGTTTACTCCAGGAAAATTCACTTTTTGGCAAAAACGCCAGCAAAACTGTCAAATTTGTCCCTTTATTATCCCTTTTCAGTTTAAAAAGGTCTATTCTTGCTCCTTTTTGAAATTAACATGCCTTGGTGGAGTTAATGAATAGAGTTTTAATACCTATAACTGAACCAATTTTTTTATAAATTTCTTAACCTGAACAGGCCGAGTAGCCAGAGGGTGTCGGAGTCCATTTTTTCTGGGAAAATGTTCCATCTGAATAAAATTTTATCTAAGCACACAAAGATTGGATGAAAAAGATCCCATTTTTTTTTTTCAGAAAAAGAATCCTCCTATTGAAACTGCTGGCTGCTGAATGACTCATCACAACATGCATCAACAGAACCACCCTGGCATGTGTGACAAATACAAACTGATAAAATCACTTCTTGTCTTTTAACTAGCTAGATGTGAGCTTGATGGTGTCATGGTACATGTTTACCAATGCTTAGGGAAGTAATAACAGATAATTATATGCAGTGGGTTGTGCAGATAACATCTTTAAATTATGGCATCTGAAGTATTGGAGAGAAATGACATCAACCAATCAGATATGTTCACTGTAACCAGCAGTTAACATTGTCCAATAGAATGACTGCATTCAAGATTTTAAACAGGGGGTTCCTAATACATTTTTTTACATTGCTCAGTACAAAAACTGGGTGCATTGGTAATGTTAACAACAAGTTCATACAGAATCCAAACGGATATTCTTATGGTGCTCTGAGAGTTGAATTGTGAACACAATTTCAGCATTGGAAAGGACATATCAAGCCTCCATAAGCTCACAGCAAAATGTAAGACAGTAGTATAACAATGACTAGAAAAGGAATGGCAAACAAAAAAAAAAAAAAAGGAAATTTTGTGAAAAGTAGACTTGGAATCAGGACTCGTTGTTACTATTGACAAGAATCTTTCAGTGATTAATCATCTCATGAAATTCAAGACAATAATTTTACTGGAGAAAAACCTTACAAGTGTAGATTCTATGACAAGACTGTTATACCACCAATTAAGTAGTACAGCATTCAGTAAAAATGTGCACAGGAGAGAGACCGTACAAGTGTAGATTCTGTGACAAGACTTTTACTCAAAAAGGCAATTGCACTGTGCATGAAAGAATTCATACTGGAGAGAAACCTTACATGTGTACATTATGTGGCAAAACTTTTGCACGCAAAACTTCTTGCATAGAGCATGAAAGAATTCACATAGGAGAGAAACCTTTTAAGTGTAGATTCTGTGACAAAACTTTCACTCAAAAAGGCCACTGCACTGAGCATGAAAGAATTCATACAAGAGAAAAACCTTACAAGTGTAGATTCTGTGACAAAACTTTTAAAGACAAAACTTCTTGCATAGAGCATGAAAGAATTCACATAGGAGAGAAACCTTTTAATTGTAGATTCTGTGACAAAATTTTTACTCAAAAAGGCAATTGCACTGTGCATGAAAGAATTCATACAGGAGATAAACCTTACAAGTGTAGATTCTGTGACAAAACTTTTACAGACAAAACTTCTTGGATATATCATGAGAGAATTCACACAGGAGAGAAACCTTTTAAGTGTAGATTCTGTGACAAAACTTTTACTCGAAAAGGCCATTGCATTGTGCATGAAAGAATTCATACCAGAGAAAAACCTTACAAGTGTAGATTCTGTGAGAAGACTTTTAAAGACAAAACTTCTTGCATAGAGCATGAAAGAATTCACACAGGATAGAAACTTTACAAGTGTAGATTCTCTGAGGAAACTTTTACACAAAAACATTCTTGTAAACTTCATGAAAAAAATCACACTGGAGACAAACCTTTGAAACATAGACTTTCTGCAAAAACTTTCTTTCCAAAAGGGAATTGCACTTACCATGAAACAGTTAACAATGGAGACAAAACTTTTAAACAAGGTTTTTGCAAAGTCCATGAAACCATTCATACTGGAGAAAAGCATGATACATGTAAGTTCTGTGACAAAGAGTTCATAACAAAATTGGCCTGCACTAGCCCTAAAAGAATGCACACTTGTGAAAAACCAGACAAATGTGGAGTGGAATTTAATCAAGGGAATGATTGCAGAAAACACAAAACAATGTACAACGAAAGAAAAAATGGTTCAAATAATATACATGGATCTTTAGGCAGCAATGAAAGTGGGCCTGGCAATTCTCCAGATTCAGAGGGGGAAACAGATGAAATAAGAAACGTGGAAAATAAACTGATAAACAATAATGCTATAACCCATCATATATACGAGGAAGAAAGAACAGAATACTATCATAAAGATGACACTTTTACCACGGAGAATATCACCATCATTACTGATTATGATGTCTATGACCGCATTCTCAACGAATTGAGCCAGGCTTTACAAATCCTGAGAGCTAAAAATGGCGGATGTACATGAAAAAAAAAAACGCCTAATCTTTTAATAGTCTCTCTGCCTCTCACACGCCTCCCCACACGTCGTCCCTGCGCGGTACAGTAATTAAATCTCGGCTCCGTTCGCCATGCGGAAGCTACCTGAGAAATATAAAGTGCACATGCTCATCAGTTAAACTCGTGGTGAAGAAAGCATGGCGGCTGAAGGCGATAGAAGGAAAAAAGCTCTTCTGTTCTATTATCTTTCAAAACAGAGACGAAAAAGGAATGAATTGGCCCGTAGAGCAGCAATGAATCGACTATCTACGGAGATAATATCACCAGAGATATTCACGGAGATATTCATGTTCGGAGCCGAGATTTAATTACTGTACCCTGCAGGGACGACGTGTGGGGAGGCGTATGAGAGGCGGAGAGACTATTAAAAGATTAGGCGGTTTTTCTTTCATGTACATCCGCCATTTTTAGTTCTCAGGATTTGTAAAGCCTGGCTCAATTCGTTGAGAATGCGGCCTATGAAATACTTACTGGCATAAAAAGGACCACACCAGGTCTTATCAAAACAATTATAAAAAATCCTTTCTACAACTCTTAATGATGTGTTCAGATGACAAAAACGAAAACAAACTATTACCTTATAAATTTGCTATTTTTGGACAACTAAAGAACAATCAAATGTAACTGCTTCAATTTTTATTAGTTCAGTGATTATCAATAATTATTACTATTACAATGTGTAGGTTCAGTATTCATCAGACCATATACTTCCATGATCAGACACATAATCTATGGGGTGTCTCGATAGTCCGAAGGTTCATTGGTCCGAAAAGTGGTAACATTTTCATCGATTTTTTAATCAAGGGTTCATTGGTCCGAAGGTTCTAAAGTGAACATTCAGACCAATGAACCTTCGGACTATTGAACCTTCGGACTATCGATACGGCCCCGATACAAAATCTATGGAAAATGCAAATTTAACCCATTGACAGTGACCTCTGTATTGTGGTCAACTGATGACCCCATCACTAATGGTCAATTTACCTGAGTGTCCCTAGTGCTGTCTTCCTGACTTGTTAACAGCTGACCACTCATAAGTGAAGGCCTTGGGTTGCCGGACCTGGGTGGAAATAGTGCTGTGATCACTCTGTCTTCATGTAGAACCTGGACAAAAATATTATAAATATTACGTAGTTGATTGTGAAAGAGTTGACCCACTTTCCCCCTCTTACGCCTAATTAAGGTATGAAAATGCATAATAATAAAAGTGACTGATTCTTAAATAAATTGACTGGTTATTGCTGAGGGAACGCATTCGGTCCCTGGTTGTGAAAGGGTTAAATGCCCCCCCCCTCCTCCCGTCTCGCCCTATTCCGGCTGCTTACCCTGAGCTTCAGAGATAACTTGAAACAAACCTCTACACCATGGCATACCCTTGCCGTTTCCAGTTACTTGAAACGGCAAGGGTTAATTGCTATTAAGATCTGAAGTTCAGGGTGCGGCTCCTACACCTGTGTGTCAAAACTATCGTTGGCTGGTTCGTCTTCTGCCGGGAGTTGAACAGTTTACGTGGTCAATAAATTTTTAGGGAGACACTGATGGCATAGAGATGTATCATATTGTCTGAAAGTGCTACAAGGTGAAACTGGAAAAGTGGGATTTTTTTACACTTGTCTAAAAGATTGTAAAAGCCTCTGATTATAGCAGCTCCACGCTTTATTTATATTTTGCTGTTGAACTGATACTTCTCTCACCCGTCCACCTCTCCCTAAAATGTTCCAATCCGGAAAAAATCAATAATGCTATGGGAGAATTGTACAGGCAATTGACCTACATTCTCCACTGCAGTTATTGGCACTAGTTTAACAATGTTATGACTTGGACGTGATAACTTGATTTACGCCTGTGATATGAAGGTTTATAATTTATATAAATGAATTCATAAACAGGGCGTGTCGATCAAATGATTGGAAAGTTGTGAGGGTAAAGGGACATTGTTATTTACAAAAGTAATAAAAACTGCACATGACTCAAAACCAGAAAAAAAAACATTTTTTCTCATATATGCAAATTAGATTGCCTGTAGTAATATAAGGTTGTCCGGAAGTGATGTCCACACCAAAGATTTCAAATAGCGGTGATCTTGATCACCTAAGTTATCTTTATTTTTATTATTTGATAGAAATAATACATATTTGAAGATAGCAAATGTAATTTCCAAAAAGAAATGAAACAATTTTCTTTTCATTATAAATCATTGCTCTACCCGCCCTTCGGAAGAATTTTGTAACAGCTAGAAGGCTGAGAAGGGCTTCTGGACGAGAGCCCCGGTGTACGCCCCCTCCCTCCCCTCGAGAGGAACTGTAAAGATCACTTTTATTAATATGTTACAGCGAATATGAAACGTTGATTTTTAATAGATATAAATAACTCATATTCCAGATTTTTTTTTCATTTTGTCTGCGGTTTTGCTGATTTTGAGAGGGAGAGAGAATTAGTCTAAAGTTAGATCGCGAGGATGTGGTATTTAATTGCTATGAAATTTCCATAACTTTTATGTCTATATTGAATGATCAATTCGGCAATAAGATTTAGATAACAAGATTATGCGAATAATAAAGGAATTGAGTAAAAATTTTAAAAAAATCAAATTCTAGGAAGATTGCTTTTTTTATATTCCACACAATCCAAATGCAATAATTTACCGGTTGACTTTATTTGGTTTTTCAACTGAAAACGGTTCCCATTTTTCCCTTTCCAAAAATAAAATGTGTCACTGATATCTTAATGTTTTTATTTATTCATTTATTTATTTTACTACAGATAGAGACTTAACAGTTACCTGCGTCCAGTCTCGTGAAAATTAACCTCTCATTAATACATGGAATGGAGCGTGTCGATCCTGGTGCAACACAAATGAAAAGCGAATGTGGTACAAAATTCAGTGATGGTTGTCATGAGGCACCACCGATCTTATTTAAAATACAGTAGAATCTACTTCGACAAAGGAAGAAGACACTCATCGTGTCACCTTAAAACTAAGCCGTCATCGACTTGTCACACCTAACACATTATCATCAATTCTGTGGTAGACGTCACAATCATGTTGAGACAGAACAGACGCCAGAATATCACCCCGTATAATAATGATTATTTCTTATTTATTGATAAAATATTGATAACCCAGTGGGTTAAAGTTCTAGATAAAATATTAAGAGCACTACAATAAAAATAAGATTTTAAATAACTAAGGGTTCATTCCCAATGAAACTATCATCCTACGTAGATTGATCCAACTCTGCTGAATGCAATCAGTTTAACAGCTTAATACGCCTCCTATTGTTTTAAACTTTTTCGTAAATCACTTTTTGTGTATTCTACTAAACACCAGGCGGAGGCGTGACAATTTGAAATATCAATTCCCGAAGAAAAAAAATATTTGATACGAATGGAATTTCATTTCTTTTATAACATAAAATGTGTTATTCGAGTGCTGTATGTGAAATAATGATGTGATTTATGATATATGTTGAAATCTTGTATATGTCAATATTGACAGCATGAAATGACAGGAGGATATTGGGGAGGTAGAATAAAACTGTTATAACTTGTGCATGATAGTACAGACGGGTGTTATGACAACCTGTTGTATATATGGTACATTGAAGTATTGGCGAGCACATCCTAGGGAAGTATAACGTAAGAGTTCTCTGGCGAAATATTTTGATTGACGTTTGTTTATGTAACCGTCAATCATGTCCTTGGTTATTTAAAATGGTGCAATTTTAGACGTAATATTACTAAGAAAGTATAATAAAAATGTATCATGCTGTATTATTTCCTATCAAGTATTAATATTACAAATAAATATAATTTAAATTGGAATTTGAACAAAACTTTGCAAAAAGCGGACGTAGTCCTGTCAATAATATCACAGATCTGGTTCAACTTTAAAGAAATGATGCAAAGTCAAAAAAAAAAAAAAAAAAAAAAAANATTCAAATAGAAATTCTTTGGCAAAATATTGGTAGGCCTACATATCTTCATGGCGTTGGTCCTAAAGTGTTAAATTATTGCACAGATTTTCCTGCCACTGGCCAAAACTCTGTAAAAATCTGGGATAATTTAATAAACGCCTTCGTTATCATGACCAGGTTCCACACACACACACACACACACACACACACACACACACACACACATATATTTGCAAGTCATTATGAAGGTAAATGAAGAATACAACATCATACATTCAAATATGATCACATGATTTAAAGTTCATAAAGTTTTAGTCTGCTGATTCCAGCAGATGGCGCCATAGTTCGCTCAGGTCGGTCACATATACTAAACTCTGTTCAGATAAAAACGTGCATTTGATCATAACCAGTGACGTAAATAATGTTTCATTGTGGGGGGGTGTTAGGGTATGAGATTAATTTTATCAATGGCAAGTTTTGAAATATATCTAAAACAAATGCGTCCTATGCATTTTTATTGCAGTAAATTGTCAATGAAGGTTCACCTATCAGATATTGATGATAATTGAGTAAACAATGCGTCCAAAATATCCCTCCACCTCCCCCATGAATCATATGTAACCAACACTCCAGAAAGAGGTGTCACGTCTTCATCAATTTTGAATGACCAGGGTGTGGATGCGAGGCGGTCCAGATACTAAGTATACGAAAATATCAGTTTCAACCGATTTAGTACAACGCCGTAAGATACCAATGTTAGTTATTTGAAAACAAATTATTTGTGATTCATTTTTGATGCCTGAATGTTTAAAACAAGTTTTGGAAATAGTATAATATTTTCCCCATTTTGCTTCCTCCACATTTTCGGCAGCTCTTCATATATATTATGCACTACATGTTAATTAGACTGCGTTAGTAGATATAGTCGTAGGAGTAAAATTAAACATTTTGCGTGTGTCATTTTTCTCAATCTTTTTGAGAAGGAGAGAGATAGTATATGTAGGAAAATAGGTAGATATAAAACTTGTTTGCAAATATCTTTAAGAAAATATATTCCTCTATCCAGTAAAGAGTGAAGTAATTTTTCTTCAATCAACAGCTTAATATTGAAATAGTTTACCTTTACTTCCAATATTTTGATGTTTAACAGAACATTCATCATTACTCACCTGGATAGCCTCATTCAATATTAAGCTGTTGATTGAAGAAAGTTACTTCATTCTTATAACATAACACAGCTGATGAAATTCTTGTGTGATTTGTCCAGTTAAAATTATTAAATATCGGCAATATTACATTGAATAATATTGTTTTTGCTTATGTCTTGTGAGCTATATTTTTTTAAAATGTGTTCTTTTATCCAATAAAAATTAATGACAAATAGGGGATATTACATTGAATAATAATTGTATTCACCAGGATAGCTTAATTTCTAGTTATTTAGTACTTTGAATTCAGCATACAAAATAATATCACTCTCTTCGAAAACATGGGTTTTGATTTCAATTCAAAGGCATATAGTGCGCGTTACACCTCTACCTAGAAAATAACATCCTGAGAAATTCAACAATTTTCCTTTATCACCAAACCACATATAACACCGTTACAAAAGTACGATGTATAAAAGTTTAAAAATAGTCTAGTTGTTATGTGCCGCCCTCCATTACGTCTCAATGCCGTTTACAATTGATAGAAACGCGTTTTCTTGTTGTAAATTTCAATTTTTGCCGCCGTGAGTGAAATTGACCAGCTTCTATTTTCATTACGAAAGGGGATTTTTTGGAGCTAGAATAGAGTATATGGATCGTAATGCTGTGAACTCTTTTAGATACCGTATTCTTTGTGATTTGTTGTCAAAATTTCTAAAAAAAAATTAATGATTCTGTGGATCGAATTGCATGAACTGTTCTGGATACCGTATACCTTGGTGATTTATTGTAGAAATTTCTAGAAAAATAAAATATTAGCTACATACGGATCCAGCGCTCACTATGTGCCTTTAACGTTATCTTTTCTTTAAATGCTCAGATAAGAGATCAGAATACTTGATTTCATAAGCTTGTTCTTGTTGATGATCCAATTTTCTGATGTCTAGGCTACAAGATTCAAGCATGTGCACTGCGAATTTCGTAAAAAATGTAAATGGCCTCAGGGATGATGATGCTTTCTTTAAAAAATTAATGATATATATCAGATTCTGTGTAAATTTGAAGGGACCATTGATACAATCTTCAAAATCTGCCCAACTTAAAAAATTCTCTTATTTTTATTAGATCAATCAGCAGGTGTAAAAATGTTTACTCTCTACATGTGCTATGTGAGGTTAATTCATGTTCCGTTAACAGCAAAACATTTGTCACGAGAGTTGTAGAATTGCTCATGATTTTTGGTATTTAGTTATTGAAATGATTCTTATAATACTGCATGGTTAGAAACAGAGAAAAAACAACGTCGGATCCGGAACATTTAAATGTAGTCAAATTGTGAAATTCTAGGCAATTTGTAGCATTATGTGTACTAGATAATGTTAGTCCAGAGTGGGTTCCCTTTTCGATTTTTCTGAGGTTAAAGGTGGGGTAGATTCCAGATCCGGCGTTGTTTTTTAAAGAAAAAAGACTTTTCTGAAATATTTTCTTTAATATCAAACATAAGATCAATCATAAGAAGTTTAGTTGATAGTTTTATTTGTCAAATCAAATAGATTGAATTTGTTACATTTTTAGTGAATTCTAATGAAGATCTCAATGACTTTGTTTATATCATTTTATTCAAACATTCAAAACTTAAAAAGAATCACAAATGTAGTCGCACAAACTGAAGTTTTAAGATGGTTAAATATACATGCATATATGGAATGGAAATTTGTTTTGGTCTTAATAAAGAAATACCGAAATTATTCAATGCGTTGTAGTATTTTCATGTTCATTGGTACCTACGGGTTGGGGTTCACTTTCTTGCTCGCGTACTTGGATAAAAGCAAGTAATTCCCAAAGACCTTTTAAAAATTTCCTTTGGTTACTATAAGAAGAAAGTCTACCTGGGGAGGGTGGGTGGGAACAGTTAGAGGAGTAGGTAACGCGCTTGTCTCTCAGACAGAAGGTTGCAGGTTCGATTCCTGGCGCCACTGGGTCCCAGCAAATTGCCTTTTGCAAAAATAAATCCAAATAAAGAATTTTGACTTCTACAAAACAGTGCTACGAACACAGGATAGTAAGAGGAGTCGGCGGTTCTGTAGTTAAGAAAAATAACTTCTATTTTGTTCATAAAACAATATAGCACATTTATTATGGCATAAATGAATACAAAAAGTAACAGCATAATAACACAGAATATAAAACTTGAAATACCCTTTTTCTACATTAATGGCAATTTCATAAAACGTACTATGAAATGTGAATTAAGCTTTTACATACAAGCAAAACTGGTTCTCTATCTAACTAAATCATGTCGAGATTCTATGCATTTTGAACATTTCTACTTGGCCGGCGTGGCCTTTAGATTTATAAAGAAGTTCAGGAAAATTATGATAGACATAATACCAACAAGATTAACAAAAAATGTTTGTCTAAATTCACTGATGTGAACGGTGTAGAAAATTCAATATGCATATAACCTCATCCTATCCCGACACATGTACCCACATGCAAGCACTATGTCGTCTTGCTGATGTTCACAAAACAATAATAGGGAGTCAAAATAATTAAATTTTGTAAAATTCCTGATAGTTTTGTTCATCGATAAATATTGCTCATGTCCAACACAAACTTGTTTTCTTCTCATGAAATCCTAAAATATGTATTTCATGGCACAACTTTGACTTTGAGCGAAAACTGAATTTTGTACTGCATGCGAATCAGAAACGTCATGATGACATGACCAACTTGCAAGCTTATTCCAACCATAGCCATTTTAAAGAATAATTTGTAAAGAAAACGGAAAAGATTACGTAAATATTAGTTCACTTTACTAAGACTTTACATGCAAAGAAGAACGGAAAAAAGATTATGCAAATGCACATTTACTAAGACAATGCTAATAAACTTTTAAAAGACTGGTCTCCGGTGTTCAGTGATCAAGTGACACTCAGCACTATAACTCAACAGGACATGTAGGACTGAAATCCGATAAGAAGTTATTCTTCAATCACTCTTTGATTGCGACCAAAAAGTCAACTAAGAAAATACAAGGCACAAGACCAACCTTAAACAGAGCGCTGATCTACACACTTTTGGATAAAGTTTTTATACTGATTCATATTTTGTTTAAAGAAGCAAAACACAATTAAAAAGAAACTTTGTATCATAATTCGATGGATTTTCAAAGCTACAAAGCTAGCCAAAATTTAAGTAAATTTACAAAAAAAAAAAAAAAAAAAAACGGCAGCTGAAATGATTCATTTGACTTTGTCAAGAATTTGTCGAAAATTCAGGGTATAAAAGTTTCTGATGAATGTCACTCCTACATAGACCGCTTACTGAAAATAATATTCCTAAATAAAACATTTTCTGTAACACAACGATTTTCTTTTGTTACCTACCACTACTGCAATAACAAATGCATATTAATTTCGAGAAAATTTCAACTCCTTGGTTTCGTGGTGACTTTTGACCCCCCCCCCCCATCACTGAAACACGAAGTTTATTTTATATTGTATGCGTCACAATCGCACATTCAAACTTAAGAAAGATCGTTTCAATACATGTGGACAGTTCTGCAATACTAATGTCACATTCTGCCAGTTTGATAATGCTGCAATTTCTGAAACATAATTATCAAAATTACAGCGATTAATTAATTTTTGGTGGATGCACATCTCGTTCTTTTTTCTTCAACTGAACACACACTATAACTTCCAAAGACTTCCATAAATGCATTTTACACGATTGGGACGTTTTCTTTCTTTTCAAAAGTAAACAAATATTAGGATTCAATTTCAAATAAATAATTGTTCATGGTGCATGCCAAGTTGCAGATTTGCCCTCACAAATATGTTACTATCAAAAAGAAAACCGGTCATCCTACAACTACTGTGCATTGTTGTTTATGTTGCCACACCTACATGGAAATAAACTACTACTATATGTACGTGTAGCAAAGTACTCTTCTTGAACACTACTTGGTGATAATTTGACAATAAACACAATCGATTTAGAACATCAATAAAGCAAGTCGCTTTTTGTATTGGCAATATTCGTATTAAAAGAGAACTTTTAAAAAGTCGTTTTCATGTCCGTGACGTGTACCCACACCTTAGCAAATGCATCAACAAATTACCATTTAAACGCCATGAGCGGGAAGAGTACTGTACAACAACTTGGTAACATACGTACATATGTACAGTAGTAAACCAGGGCTGAACGCTAAGAATAGAATTAGATGGCGTTCACAACTAGTTGATCCGCGGACTATTTAAGATCATTGCACTTGACAATGGATTCCCTGCCTCCCATGTGCGCCGTCCCAGCAGGGGTGAGCAATTAAATCCAGGCTTGCTTTCAAGTGGGACTTTCAACTAGTTAGTCTGCAGATGGAAAACGTATTTCATCTTCTCGTGCACGGTCGAGTCACTGAAATTAAACAAAAAACACTTTTTCAAAACAATGTCTATGTGGTGGTATCATAAAGCAGTTTTTAATTTTATAGTAATATTCAACAAATCGCTTTTCAACTTTTAAATTATACGAATATATATATACAGAGCAGCCACGTGCTATGTAATCATGCACTTTCAAACAATATCATTTCTGTTCTTTTACACGGTGTACACACTGTAACGTGACAACATTCTGTTTCTTTAGAATTATATTTCAGGGAGCTAGAAAAAAGATACAGGGGCTCGGATAACGTATAACACCGCGGAAGTGAAATTTTAGAAATAAACATATGACAGGAGTGTAGTAAAAACAAATTTACGAGATCTTAGAAAAAAGAACAACATATTCACGACATGTACAAGTTGGCGGGTAGGAATTTACTGAGGTGGATTTTGGATATTTTAAAAACAAATCAGGACCTACTAATGTAGTTACCTGCCAAAATGTCCTCACATCATTTAAGGTGGAAGACAAGTTCGCAGCTGGAGCAAAACTCTCACCACCTGTTTACTGGCAAATGCATTGCATCTGAAAATAATCACAGAAAATGAACGCCAGGTTTAAACGTCAAGTTGAATTTTGACTTTTTAGTGAAAATTTTGTTGACGTCAAGACAAAATGTCCCATGATGCCTTACGTGCAAATTTCACAATTTTTTGACAAATATCATTAACGCTTAATAACAAATGCTATCTTCCATCATCTATACAGTACTTACAACAAATCGATGCCAATTTCAGTCCCAGATTTTCGACCATTTCGCGGAAACTGTAGCAATGAGACACATGACTTTCTTCGCCATCTTCTACTGACCTCGGTCCTTTCTGAACACCTCTCACCAAAATACTCACCTAGATTACATAATAATATATGCCTGACCACCTTCCGTACGGTAGCCTCGATTTCAACTTTAGAATTTGTTGTATAATACCGAGCAATCATGCCCCATCCCTGAGAGGTGCTGAAATCATAGTGGCAAAAACATTTAAAAAAATTCTGAATTTTTCCACAACGGCTGTGATATCAAATGTTGAATATACATAACTGAACTGTGCCGTGTTGGAATTGAAATTTAATTTTCAGAAAATAAAAGTTTAAAATATCATGTTAATTTGGCAAACATTTAATTTGAAACGAGCACCGGCTCAGTTTCCATTTCATTTGTCCCGTGACCATTTCCGTATATAGATTACATTGGTAATGTAGACCATGGAGACGGGTGCCCGTTGAAATGGTGTTCAATTTAAAGAGAAAAATAAAGTTATTTCGGTACTGAGTTTACTTGTGAATGACTCTTAAATCGGGGCTTAAGTAAGCTCAATATTTGTGGGTATTTCTAAAGGCAAATTTGGGACAATTAAGCCAAGTTATGAAGTTGCCTTGCAGACAATTTTTTGAGTGCAGTTCTTTTGTTTACGTACTAAAAGAGAAGAATGTCACTATTACATTATAATATGCGCTTTCGGACCAAAAATTCATAGAATGTGCTAGATGAGGCAAAACAAAGATGCTGTTGTTGATGCTGAATTAATTTTGTTTTTACTTAAAAATAGAATAAAATTAATTAGATAAAAAGTATGTTTCAAGTAAATATTCGATGAAATATTAAATCTTATAGGGCGTAGCAACCATTTTATGTATAATGAAAAGTTTTTACTAATCTGATGAAATAGCGTTCTGTATAAAATATTGAACGAACAACTTCAATAAATTAAACCAAATATTTCAATTCTTTGATTAAACCAGCCCGACTTATATATTCCACTCAGGGGCGGATCCAGGGTTATTTTCTGACAGTCTACCAATTTATCTTTCTTGGTCCATCCTCCATTTTTGACCGTCTTCCGACAGAAAGAATTAGATACCCGTCAATGTAAACTTGAAAATCTGACCGTCTTCCGGAAGACCCAGAAGACGCCCTAAATCCGCCCCTGCCACTATTAGTTTATTAATTTTCACACGTTATTGAAATCTGGAGATTTTTATACTTATGAAGTACTAGCAATATATCGCAGATTAAAGCTCGAAAGATTGTTAACGCTTTGCATAAAATTGTTTTCAATTCTAATTTGGCAAATTATATGTGAAGTTTATTTTAAAACAACAGTTTTCACGCACGCTCCATTCAATATACAGCGACGGGCTATTTATTGCCCCGGTCCTTTATAAGGAACAAACAAGACCGGTAATTTTTAATTTTACCTGGCCACTAACATCATTATCTCGGCATTTTTTCTCTCCGTAGCTCATGAAAAAAAAAATGACAAGGTTTTGCTTTTACTACCATTCGTTTTTAAAAATATGATCCAAAAATATTCATTGGGTGTAAAAGAACACGAGTATGATTAAAGTAATATGTTCAGTTCGTATACGAAGTTCCGATTTCGAACGAGCACCAAAGAAAGGATTATGGAGCAACAAACATCGACATCAACATTCATGTTACATCATATTCAGAAAGAGAATGATAACTGACTTTTAGTACAATTAAAAACGCCTGTGAAAGAACCCAGAATTCTTTTACGTTGTTAAATTTCATGTTGTCTCTCGGTTGAAATAAAGAACCCGACGTTTTTTTAACGCGTTGCAAAAACAGAAAATAAAATGCCCCCTACCTCCAGAATGTTACGACATGTATTGTTATAGACAGGTATTATATGGATCAAATTCAAACAGGCTAATTCAACTTTGATGGAAGCTGACAAGCGCACACGACTATGAATGACAGTTTTTTTAAAAAGAAACGTCAAACACAATTACTACACTCCTCTATTAAGTTACAAGTACAATGTTCGTGGTGGGAAGTGAGTCGTTTGTTACAATGTTAACGCTACATTGTGTTATTAGCTAATCTGTAACTGGGGTCGTTGAATAAATAGTAAAATACCTTCAGGAAAGTCTGCTTTACATCTTATTAATTTTTTTTTTTGTAATAAGTAATAACCATCTTGATTTATTTTCTACAACACTCAAAGCTTGCAGGCCTCACAACTTTGTAACTGCATGCAAAAATTGTTTATTAGGATATCAAATGAACCGGACCAAAGACTGCATTATCTTTTACAACCAAAACAAAATGAGTGACTTTTTAACCAGTGCGATATACAAGTTCCAAAATTGACTGATAGACATTTATTTCATTTAAATCTTGTATTTTAGTTATTTTATTTTTCACATATGTTTTTTAATATTCCTCTGTTTTTATTCACTAGTGATTTTATTCAACTACATGCATGATGCAAAGAATGTATTTATCCAACCCTCGGGTTGCAAATTTGATAATAGTAATAATAATAAGAAAAAGAAGAA